CTTTTCTGACTATAATGATTCTATGAACGAGATCAGCAATATGGAAAAAATCTCTTCCTTCAACAAAATGCTCAGGGTACTGAAACAGTGTTGTGATGTCTAATAATGTGCATTTAGCAAGTCAATATTTAAATTTACAGCTTTTCAGGATGAAGAGACTTGGATTTATTGAGGGTACCTCTAACTCCGGCTGTCAGCAGCTGGTGTGTTTCCACATCGTCTGTCTCTGGCCAAACAAGAGGGATCAACACCTGCGGCAGCCTGGCAGTTTGTGCTTTCAAACAACATGTAGAAAAATTTCAGTATCTAGTCCTGAGGGAGAGGGACACATCAGATTTCCAGGGCATGGTAATTTTAGATGTGAAACCCTATTTTTTTTTTTTCATCCTGTCCTTGGTACTCTGGATTCTGGCTGCTTTTAGCTAGTGAAGAGACAAAGCACGAGCAGGACAATTTGATGCAAAATCAGGTGTCTGAACCTGACCAAAGATGCACATCTTTTAAATGGGTCCAGTCAGGGGAACTAGCGCACTCCAGCACATACTAATCGTACTGCTTTCACCTGTAAACGCAGGTGAGAAAACCAAACTTGAAGGAGCTGAAGATTAGAGATAAGCCTTTGGAAATTAAGTACAGTATGAAAATTGCCCACTCATATGCGTAGTGAGATGTTCTTGATCACACAGTTCTGTGGTTTTGGGTTGTCCTCTTCCCAAAATCTCTGCCTTGTTGCATACAGAAGGAATAGTACTTATCTAGTGAGCAGCTTCTGTCTGTCTGTCTTTCTGTCTTTCTCCCTCCACCCTTACTATTTTTTGTTGTGTAACCCTATGCCTTACTATATACCACTCAAATCAGGGTTTGAGGATGAAGTTACTAATTTCCTCTTTGACATTTTTGTAGGACTACAGTATACTACAGTATTTCAGTGCTTCAGATGTTAATTGATTTTCATAGCACCCTACTGAGACGGGGAGTTATTATTAACCAGGGAAATGGAGCACAAGGAGATTGAGGTCAGAAATACTGCTCAGTTTGAATGCCAGGTTTGAGAGTAGTGTTTCTTTTAGTAGTCACATGAAACTCTTGCATTCCTTCAACTGCAACTGTGAGTAATTCTAGGTTTCTCCATATTGAGTCGACAGCTGTAACAGAGGCAGCTGTATAGCCAGGAAAGCTCAGGTGACCACTCGTGGAATTTTTTGCCTAAGTGATGTGCCTGGTTTCACGTAAGAACTTCTGAGTGGAAGTGGGGAAGGGATCTGAGTCTTAACACTGCATTGAGATGTTACGATCCAAGACGTTTTTCTTTCGTTATTACATTCTTCTGGCTCATAGCGTATGTATCCTCCAATTCCTGCGACAAAGGACGCAAAGCCCTACCTACAGGAGTCTCTTCTACCCACTAACCGTAATTCGTCACCGGAATGGGTACACTCGTGACGACAAATGAGCAGAGGTCCTTTTAGCAGCATGTGTGAAATGTTCTTCATTAAAAAATAATTCCTGATGTACACGTGTAAGGATTGCCCTATATTTCTTCATTTTGAGTGCCTGTGTGCCCTTAATTTTCTTTTAACATTTATTTAATATAAACAGTTTTCTGTTCCGTATTTCAGTTTCAGTTGGCCTTCTGACATCAAATGTCCACATTCAGAAGCATCTTAGTAGTTTAAAATGGCAGCAGTGTCAAGGAATCCGTATCCCCGTCCAGTTGCTTCGCAGTTGCCGAAGTTTAGCTTTTTGAAAAGTGAGACGACTCAGAGCAGAGAGCTTGTTCCGTAGGATGTCAGCTGTCACAGAGCTGACACGTGAAGATAATTCTTTTCCTCAGTAGAATATTGTTTCTCTGAGTTGGCAGCACAGAAATGATTATTAGAAGTTAGAAAGATCATTAGAAATCTGAATGCTTTGATAGCCATCTCACGTTAGCTTTTTTTTCGTAAGAAATTAACTAATCATCACTTTCAGAAGAATAAAAATCCTCTGGAAACCTGCATGAGGATGACTCCAAACTCATCTGCTGTGGTACTCCTGAGAACAGCTCTGTCAGCAGATTCTCTCTGGAAAAAGGTGGAAAGTTAACCAAAATATTTTTTATATATTTGGAGAAGTAATTCTACACTGATCTTCACTCTGGACTCATTTCTTGTTTCTCTTAGATGATGGGTTTATCATATTTTGGATTAATGTTGTCTTGTAAGAAGTTGTTAATTCTCCCGTCTTTCAGCTTAAATTGTATTTTGGGTCCATTTAGTTGTTTCCTCCTAGTTTTTTTAGAAGCATCTATTGTTAATAGTGCTGAATGGAGACTCTGCTTCAGACTCCTTTTGGTTCGGTAAATTTGAATTTGCATTTGGGCCTTTATACAGGTATTTCTGGCTCTACCTCAGATACCTGCCTTGTCTGCTTCGTTGTGCTCGGTTGTGTGCTCGCCTCTCAGTTCGAGAAGAGACAGAAATAGAGGGAAGGCAGACACAGTCTCCCTGCTTGCCAGAAGAGCGATGTGTGTGCTGGACGTGGTGGCCTCCTGTGACTTCCTCGAAAATGCCTGGATCTTTTCAAATTTGTGCTGAAGAATTAACGTAATGGATTTTTATGATGGAAACTGGAACTGTGCTGTAGCAGGAGATCTTAAATGCTCTTTAGGGCATTTCCTCACAATGTAACTAAGTCGACAGATCAGTCTGGGAGGAAGACCACAATTCTTTAGCCTCTCGTGTTTGAAAGCCTGGTAAATGAAATCAGTCATTAAAGAGCTCTGATTAGAGGACTGCTTATTATTAAATTTTTTTATTATTATTCTGTGTTTTGTTGCATGTGACTTAGACTGTGTGGTTAGTTTTGGTTGCTAATAGTTGCACAATGCTTTGATGTCCTGAAAATCATCATGATAACCCAGTGAAAACACAAAAGTGTGTTTATTTTCTCCAGCAATACCAGTTAGCATAGTAAAAACAACACCTTTCTTGGTAAGCTTTCCTTTCCTTAACATGTAACAATGTGCCTGGTATTGTAAAAAATACAGATCATGTTATTGTCTCGTACGAAAGATGTTATTGTCAAGCAAAGGGAAGGCAACACTTCAGATTACTGAAAATTAGGACATTGTAAATGGTTAAATTAATGATGGCACAGATTCAGAGAAGCCGTGAGCTTTAGGGAGAGATTGAGAGAGAAGAAAGAGGAAGACTTCTGTGTGCAAGAACTGGAAGGTTGTGCCAAGTGCGGAGAGGGATGTGAAGGAAAGACGAAGCCATAGTTTAACATGGAGGGTTGAGAAAATCAAAGGAGATGAGAATACAGATGAGAATAGAAGATAACTAGGTTTGGAAAAAAAAAGACGACTCCTTTTTTTCCTTACTTCTCTGTGATACTCAGTTGAGTGCTGTTAGAAAACATACTAAAGTGTCGTTTGTGCTTGTTGTGACCGTCCCTGCTCGTGGCAGGGGGGTTGGAACCAGATCATCTTTAAGGTTCCTTCCAACCCTTACCATTCTATGATTCTATTCTATGATTCTATGACTGCAGCTATTTTCTTCGGTGCCATTGAAGTAAATGGAGAAATACAAAGATGGGTTTGATCTCAGGGGTAGTCTGATGCAGGCCGGGGTGATGTCTTTGTGTGTGTTGGTTATGGACGAGCCCTGAAGGAAGCGGTAGCTGGGAATAGCTGCGGATTTCTGGCTAAGCACCCCCCAGTAGCTGCGTTACAGTATGGCAGTCTCACCAGAGAGGCTTTATGGGATCAGGAAACCACCTAAATTCAGGGGATTACCTGGTTTCTGACTCCAGTAGGTGTAAAGAAGCTTTTCTAGGAAGATTCCTGGATTACAAACTGCAATGTGAGGGTTTAGAAGCTTTTCTATAACAGAGATATATTGTTTTCAAGGTAGAAGTATTTATAAAGGATTTATTGTCTTAAGCTGCGTGTGAGGTTTCTGTTGGTTTTTCCTTTAGGATTACAAAGGTAACAGAGAAAAGCACCGTTTGATATTTACCAACCTAAGGGTACTGTCTCATGCTGAGGGTAACTGGATCCCGAAGAGCATTGATTAACCCTTGTAGTTCCAGCTCTGACATTTTGATACCGCCTCCTCGTACACCCAGTGGTATTTCTCAGATCTGATTGCAGCGATTTCCGTCTCCTTACAGAACCACAGTACTGTGAGCGATTACTTCTTTATCTACAGAGCTAGGTACATCTAGGGAACAACTCAGGTGCCTAAACGTGGGCATTTGGTGTGCTTTTAGCTGTCGCTGGATATGCAGATCACCCCCATGGAGCTTGCAGAGATGATGCAGCACTTAGAGCAGGCTCGGAGCCTTCTGCGGCAGCGTGCTGGGCAGGATTGTCTCTGGGCTGCTCAGATGGCATCTGACACCAGTGTTTGGGCACCCGAACTCGTTGCTGCTCGCTGGCCAGTGTAAAAATGGAACTGAATGGGAGATGGAGCAGGGAAAGGTATGGGATTTATCGGAAAGTCTAACACTTTCTGGTGCTACTCCTGGTTTTGTTCTTGTAAAGACCACTTACTGGCAAACTTTGAACATCTCTAAGTAATAGTTCTTATTTGTGATTAACACTGTTTTTATAGTAGATTGGTACACATTTAAAATTAATACCTCTGACCCTGCAAGAGAGAGACAGTCCAATTTTCTTTTTTTTTTTTACTCCCAGAGAAATAGAGTAAGCATACGTTCTGTGGTAGAAGTGCACTTACAATTAGAAACCTAGGCATTTCCTGTGAGTTTTAGAGTTGAACTGTAAGCCTGAAGGACAGGAAACAGGCCACGTTGCTCTTGTTAAACCATCAAATCATTACTGCATATGAGACTAGAGGATTTTCAGCTTCTTCTCAAAGCATTTTTGGAGGATGAGTCAGTAAAGCAGTTATCTAATGTATCCACGTTGACTGCACATAGCAGTTTGTATTCTGTTACGTTTAATTACACTGTTACCGGGCTAATACTTTGGGATTTTTCTCTCTTTTTTACAGGATTCTGCTCAAGAGAGTGTCATTACACGAGATATTCATCGTACGTTTCCAGCACATGATTATTTCAAAGATACGGAAGGAGACGGTCAGGAATCTCTATACAAAATCTGTAAGGTACAGTCAGTACTCTGAATTTTGAAGTGTGTTCCATATTTTGCTATGACTGTGTTTTGCCCTGCTAACCCTGTTCTGATCCAAGTCACTAATCAATAAGATCTTAAAGCTTTATTTAGATTGCATGGGGAGAGTGTAGTGTTTCTGCAGTACTGGATATCCTGAAGTGCTTTTTATAACCTTGCATTTGTATATCCTAAGATGCACGTGAGAAGAGCGAGGCTCGCGCTAGCTGTACTAATGGGCAGTTTGATATCAGAGGTCCACTTCAGCAGAAGCATGGGGTAGTAGAACCTTTTTAGCTCTGCAGAAGAGAAACCCTCAGAGCCAGCTCTGCTATGCGGTTAAGCGAGAATGTTTCCAGAGAATTATCTAGAGAACAAGTTAGCTGACCTTTCCACAAGCAGTGTGTGTGTGTATAGCCTTTGACTCGGAGATCTCAGATCACATCAGATCAAAGAAAAATCTAACGTTTTTGCAATTTGCACGTGGGGAAGTTGAGGTACTAAATGAACAGATTTGTCCAGCTTGTACAGGCAGACTTTTGCTGATCAGGAGAGAACCAGAAGGAAGAATATTGCAGCTAGATAGGGACTTCTCTGGCTGTCAGCTGCAGATTTTATTGTGTTTCTGGCAGGCAGTTTTCATTTTACATTTTTTTCTACTTGCAGACTAAATGATTGCCTTAGACAAAGCCATTTCCACTTCCCTTCCTTTTCCTTGTTGCTCTGTTTCCACCTCCAGCTGATTAGTAGACAGAAATGATGGGGTTGTCATAACAAGCAGAAGAGTGTCCTGCCTTTGGGGTATAATGATACATATTCCTGTTCTCCAGATGAATTCTGTGGTGATACAGACTGCTATTCAAACAATAATTTGGACGACTGTTAAATATAGCTGCTTAGGTTACATATATTGAAGTTCATTGCCATGAGTAATTCACATTTAAAAAAAAAAAAAGGCAAAAAATAAAGGAGCAGAGAGAACTTTGAACCAATGACATTGATTTCTCCCTAAGCCTGGAGGGCTCGAGATGGCTGCAGGGAAACCATTCCTGTGCCAATCTTTGAAAAGAATAACTAGGACAATGCAGGTAATTGTGGGCTTGTCAGTTTGATATCAGTTAAGTGAAAAATAATGGAACAGCACTCAGCTTATGAAGAATTAAATGTGAGAAGTATATTATAATGAATGCCTGCAAGTTTACTGAAAATAGATCTTGACAAGCGAAAAAAGAATACAGGTTTCATTGGTGAAGGTAGTTTTATTGAAATTCTATAAATTGTGTTGTCTGCTGTGCAGAAAGGTGTATAAATGCTGGACAAGTTAGAACATGAACAAGATACACCTTAAAGAATTAAAAACCGGCTGTCTAGGAGGTTACTGAACATCAGCACTGAGTAAGTGCATTTCACATGAGGTGTCATGAAGATCGCTTGTTTATTCGATGTAATCTGGTTAGTCACCTAAAAGAAAACAGAAAAATCAGCTCCAATAGAGATGTCTTGATGACACAGAGAGAAAGGGAACGGTAAATAATGCGGTGTTAAAGGATGTATAGATAGATGGATCTTGTGTAGGAATAGAATGCCTCGAGTAGTTTACAGTAGTTTACAGCTGCTGCAGCTGCTTTTGTTAACAGTGTCCAGAATTAAAGACAACTACTTCTACGTTGGAAAGAATCCGTAGAAGTTCCATAAGGATGATGAAAGGATTTGGGAACATACTTTGGAAAGATAAACTCTTTTTCATAAAGGAGTATCTCAATCTATTTTGTTTAATAAAGAGGAGATAAAGGAATGAATCTGTCTGAACTGCAAGTGACTCTGAGGCATCATCATCAGTCTGGCAAGCAGCTTGGCAGAGGTAGAGATCTGGGACCTTCCTGGGTTTTCTGTAGTAGAAGTGAAGAATTCTACTCATCTTTCAAAGCAGGGAGCTCTCAGGGCCTCTAGTGCTCCTGCAGAGCAAGTTGCTGCAGATGTTGGTCCTCTTTTCTGGAATGATGTAGATCAGAGGCCTGTCAGTGTGTACATCAAGTCAAGGACTGCTTTTCCCATAAAGTGTTTTGTATTTATCTACAGTTAAATGACCTCTGCCACTTTCCCACTTTCTCTTGATACGAACACGTTCTGCACAGCGTCTTTGCAGTCAGCCTTGTCTCATCAGCAGTCTTTGTTACTGTGCTATTTTCATGTGTTCTGCATAATTTGTGAATATTTTCAACACCACCAGCCCTAGCACATCTTTCCGCAAGGTTCGGTGAGTGACCTCACCTTCATTCCGTGGGCAAGAACTGACTCTTTATTCCTACCTTTTGCGTTCTGTCCTTTAATCAATTAATGGAGTGCATAAGAGGACTGTCTGTGGCAGCTCAGTTCCCTAAAAAGCCTTTGGGAAGGGATCTGGTTAATGGTGTTCTAAAAATCCTAGCAGGCTCTATTGACTGCCTCATTCTTTGGCATGCTCCTTGGTCCAAGGAAGGATTTGGGAAGCGTTGCTTCCTGGTAGAACAGCCATATCCAATCCGCAACACTGAATTATTCATAAGTTTACTGATTTTATTCTTGACAGTTTCTACCTACTTGGCAGTACTGAGATCAGAAGCAACTGCTGTGTAGATTTCTAGGCAGCGACTTTTCCTTCATCCTTGAACTGTTTTCTTAATGGCCATGGCTCGGTTCTACAGATGACCTGCCTGTGGCCGGGCCTGGCTGGGCCTGGAGTTTGATTGGCGTGGTGAGTTTTAGAAAACTACTGTTAAAAGCTAAATAATTTGCTTATAAACTTGTCATTCCATGGGGAAAAAAAATTAATAATCTATGCTGAAAGTAATATTGTGGCTGCCTTATATTACTGGAATAACTTTTAACAGAGGTGCTATGCACTCGTGCCCTTCTTCTAATATGAAAGCAAGACATTTGGAGAATGGGATTAGTGAATAAGTCTGGCAAAGGTCTGTCCTCAAGTGGGAGGGTAAAAAGCTGAAGAGCATTTTCTTCATTCCGCACTGAAATGAGAGATGATCTGAGCTGTCAGATAAAAAGGAAAACCATTAAAAGCTCGCTGCCTCGTTTTAACGGGTCTGTCAGTTTTAGTTCCGTCTCTTCATCTCTTCTGCGGAACAGTAGGAAATCAGGAAAGCTGGAAACTTTTTCAGTTGCAGAACATTTATGTGACAAAGTATCTAAAAATAAACTTTCAGGCTGACATTGGTGATAAGGAATGAAAAGAGTTCCGGATTCTAGATTGGAGATTCACTCGAGGACATCGCAGAAGCTGGATCTGCAGAGAGCAAACAGCTTTGGGAAAAACGTGGTGTTTCTTGCACACTTTCTGTTTAAACACAATGCAAATTCTAGCTCTATTTAAAGAGCTTGTTCTCTGCGTTAGAACACACAACAGAATGGTACTCACGACCTACTTCCATGCGTCCGTATGTAGTTAACAGCCCGATGCTCCAGGGAATCAAAGCGCTTGGCAGAAATCGGCCTCTCAACTGTTTGGAGTGTGTGCAGTGAGGAGTTCAATGCGAGATGGAGTTTCTCTAATTTTCTGATGAAAGTAAATCCTGTTTGGCAAACAACCTCTGTGACTTTAATAGGAGAAAGGCAGTATGTTGTGGGGAGATCAGTCAGGTTAGCTAGGTGAGTGCTCTTACTGGGCAAACTGGAAAAATAGCCACAACGCTTCCCTGTTTTCCTGATTGTGGTTGAATGACTTTTCAGAGATTCAAAGTCTTTCCCAGTAAACAAAGGCAAAAAGGAAAGCGATGAGAAAGCTATGGAAAAAGCTACAGAGAGCTATGAATTATTTGTATCATGACGTGTTTTGTTACGAAGCACTTCTCTCCTTGGTTGGTCAAAGTTGTAGGTTTTTTCCTAATCCCAGTCATACTGGCCTGAAGGTTTCATGCGCAGGATCAGCGTGATAGCTGGTTTGCCGTGAAACGAAGCACGGCGTTGCAGTCGTCGTTCCAGTGGCTGTTTGTTGGTACCCACATTGGCAAAGGGAATAAGAAACTGTTTTTCTAACAAAACTAACACTGGGTGGGCTCCAGTATGGTGGTTTTTGGCTTTCTTTGCTGTACAATAGAAAGGTGAAAATGTCTTTCAGTTGCTCTTCTGTGCCCAGTAGCTCCTGCACCATGACGAGCTGCGAGTGATGGATTGCTCTGTGGCTCACCCTTCGGCATGGCCGAACTACTGCCGAGTGCTGGCCTGTATGCTCTTCGTCTAACTTCCAGCCTTGTTCTGCATTTTCATTTCTATTTCATTGCGGCGTCTCTTTTCAGATGATCACCCCTTCTCAGCATGGACATACTCTTCCACATTTTTCATTTCTTAGTATCTCCTCAAATTTACGAATAGGAAATTTCAGCATTTGTCCACTTTGGTTTAAGGATTTGTCAGAGAGCAGATCTCTTTCCTTCCTATAAAAGTCTATTTGCTAATTTTAGAATAAACGTAGGAGCATAAACAGAATTAGTTAAGAGTTATTTTTTCATCTATTTTTTGTTGTTTATTTTCTTTGCTCCTGGCTTGAAGAGCAATTTTAGTAAATATTGTTGTCTTGTTTCATGCAAAGGGTTTTTAATGTTATCTTGTCATCTTCCATTTAGATACTAATAAGGTTCCTTCTCTGCACATCTGTGCTCAGTGAGGAAGCAGGAGGACGGTTCTTGCGTCCGGGCTCTCTGCTGAGACTGTGCCAGTGCGAAGGGCAGGACTGTGAATCTTGGATGCTGGAAAGAGAGTAAAGGCTTTAGTAGGTTTGGAGGCCTGTCTGCATAAATGCGAAGATTTCTGCGTTCGCTCGGCCCTTGTAGCTCTGGAGGAGGCGTATTGCGGAACACACACGTACCTCTCCCTGAGACTCGGTGAATGAGTAACTAACTTCTAAAAATACAGTTTTCAGTTAACACACAAGTTGCTTGTATAATGTGAGACATCCGAAATGCTGCAGTCAGAGGAATATTGCTGCTTTCAGACTGCTAGCCTTCTAATAAATTTTAGGTATGGAGTTTTAAATTATACTATCATTAAAATTATTCAGCGACCAAGCGTGTCATACAATGTCTTGTTGCATGAGAAGTCTTCATCAAAGTCTGGATGTTTTCTTGAGACAGACTGTTCTCCAGACGCTATATAAAGTCTTTTAACTCTACTAAAACGGACTTCAGCACAGAGCTGTGTCTGTATCAAACATGGAGTAGATTCCCTAGACCATTCCTGATTTTGATAGCAACATAAAGGTAAGTAATGAGAGCAAATCAGGCTTGGAATTCTCCCCCCAAAAAACTTGCATTCTTTTCCTGTTACATTTTCCTTTGTCCTGGGACACAGATGCTGGGTATCTCTTGCACGGCTGTTAACAAGCATCCTGCTCTGGAGACCTTCCAAGACCCACCTGGACGCGGTGCTGTGCAGCCTGCTCTGGGTTGACCCTGCTTCGGCAGGGGTTGGACTGGGTGACCCACAGAGGTCCCTGCCAACCCCTAACGTTCTGTGATTCTGTGATCATGCCAGTGTGCCCAATGCTTTCTTAGAGACGCGAGTGTTTCCTGTGCCAGCAAACTTCATACTGACAGGAGCGCTCCTGCAAATGAGAGATCTGTAGAGCCTCCGCTCGTCCCTTTCCCTCTGCGTTGCTGTGAGGGGAGTGAAAGCTCTGGAAATGCAAGACCTTGGTGTGAGGCAGACGCTAGAGAAGTATTTTTGATGAGCTCTCTTGAGTTTCTAATGTAATTATAACATTTGGTTTCTAATGTCATGGAGTTACTATGGTAAAGCCAAATTGGCAATGTGATTGTAAGCTGATATTTGCTAGTTAGTGTTTCGCGTTTTGCTGTTTTAAGTACATTTGAACCTTCAGCAAGTATAAGCGATGATTTTCGTGCTTGTGAGGATGCACAATGAGGAAGAACATTTCCTTCTGGAATTCGAGATGCACTCTCTGCTCTTCCTTTTTTAAAACTGCTGGGACTCATACACAGTAGTTGCAGAAATCCCAAATCTGAGATTGTAAATTCAAATCCGCAACCTTTCCATTCATCTTTTAAATGCTACTTAGTTGGAATGTTTCTGCCCACAGAAGGTTCAGGTCTTGGGAGGTTTTCCTCCATTAGTTATTTGAGAGAAGAATTTCTGTCCATCTCTGGATTCTTCAGTCACTGTCCCAACACGCAGGCGGCTCTCTGTCATTGACCTCGTCTGGGGAGACTCTGTTCCTTCCAAATTCTTCACTTGCTAGTGATGTTGTACTAATAACAGCATGGTAGTTCTTCTCTTCAGAATACAGAGAACTATCAAAAAGATGTTTTAATTCTGAGAGATCTTCATTTAGTTAAAATGAATGAAAGTAGGCTTCAAGTCAGAATCTTAATATTAGGTTCCATTTATGTCAGAGAATATATAAAATCTCCGTTAACTGGAGTGTAGTGATTGGAGGTTCCCCAAGAGCTTAAGAAAACAATGATTTAAAAGGCTGCACCGTTGTCGCTGGTTGTCATGGGAAAAATCCCATTCTCTTGAAATTACAAAATTACAATGGCTGCAATGGTAATATGGGATTTGGGAGTTTGCTTTGTTTTCGCATTTCCTGTGGAAAGATGGAGTTGATGCTCCTCAGTCGCTTAGAAGGATAAATCTTAAATAAATAATCTTAGATCTTTTGTTAATAATACAATATTACTGTGGTATCTGTAGGCAGCATCCTTATTTTTGAGGCTGTTTCGGTTAATTACATCTTTCAGCGATATCAATAAGGTTACTTAAAGCTTCAAAAATCTCTTTGCTTTGGGCAAATACAATGAAATTATGTCGATTTTAGAGGCTTCATTAAAAAATAAATCTTTAGTTGCCAGGATTATGGTGCTTTGACTTAACAGCGTAATCTTTCTCGGTTTGATCTAATTCTCATGCAGGACTGAGGTTAGTCTCTGATCACAGCTGCTCGCGAAGGTCGGATTTGGGGAAGAACCTGATGGAAATGAACTTCAGAGAGCAAGCTGATCAAGCAGTTCATAATTTTTTTCATAGCTGTTGGTTGCTTCGAAGATTTGTTAATGATGACATCCTTTTACTGGGGCCCTCAGACATCTTTCTCTTACATGTCCTATGTATATCTGCAGTGATGAATTTATAATTTTTTTAAACTAAATTGTGCAGAACTTACTGATTTGTAGTTCTATGGATCACCTCTTTGGTTTCAAAATTGTCATCTATGCTTCTGACTTAATTGGCCAGTTAATGGTTTACCAGTTTATATTTATTTTGTTGTCAGGCTTTTTGAGTGAATATTGTCTGTTCTTAATAATTTGTAGTATTTTTCTTCCTTTTAATTTATAATCTTTTCTTCTGATACTCAACTGGAGACAGATCCTTCAACACATCCCCTGTTAGGAATGGTTCCAGCAGGATTACAGCCTCTGGGATTCTTTCGCAATAAAACAGACATAAAGAAAGTCCACGTAGTTTTTCTGCTATAATTTAAATACAAATTTTCTGCCTTGATCCTGTATTTTCCAGGTAGCGGCTTTGCCTTCCTGCTCTGGCTGTCTTTGAGAATGGATTTATTACGAGTTTTAATGTGTTTAGGAAGTTGATGATGAGAACGTTTCTTGATCTTCCTTCATATTTCCATATGTGACATGCAGAGTGAGGATTTTTTTTTTTGTACCCTCCCCATTTTCTTTCTTTTGCCATACTTTGAACTTCTTTCACAATCTCAAAAGGAGTATCTTTTTATTTCTGATAACTTTCTTTTTAATCTGTGTCAGTTTTGGAGGCAGTTTATTTGTTCCAGTGTGTTTGTTTCTCCATAGTTATCTTAAAACTTGTTTGGATTAATTTATTGCTGTTTTCAGCAAATTGCTAGCTATTGTGCTAGTAATGCCTCTCACAACAGAGAACGCCCACACGTTGATAGCTTGCTGTTAATTTTTCAGCTTGGATTTTTTTTTTTTTAAGTAAAGTAGAATTATTGTTATAGAGTATGAAGAAGTCATAAATTAAAGTTATTATTTGTAATTTTGCATATTGGTTTCTAAGCAGAGCTGGCCCTTCAAAAGCAGAAATAATACATCTTTTGGGAATGCTACAGAAAATAAAATATTCAGCATCCAGAAGCTGATGGATTTTGGGAACAAATAGCTAAAGACTCATGGTGATGATATTAACCAGTGCATGGTGCTAATTAGTCATATGCAGTATTAATTTAAGTGTTGAAAGTAGTTTTGTAATTTGTAAAAAATATTGTAAAGTAATTTTTGTAATTAGTAAAAAAAAAAAGAAGTAGCTGAATTCTGTTAATTCAGTGCTTAGCAGCTAAAGAGTAATTTTACATTAGCTTTTTCCAGGAAAGCATCCTTTTATTCCAATTTGAAGTTTTGTGTCTGCTATTGTACACTTCTGGAGTTGTTTTTCTGTGTCTTACTTTGGTGGCTAGAGCTGGTTTGAAACACTGTCATCCGTAAGCAGCCTGGGAGGCGGGGTGGGGGGAAAGGTGGATTTTCTGATTCATGTGGCTTGTTCCTCCCCGGAGCTCGACCTGGTGCTGGTGTTTTTCCTGGCGGTAACCTTAGTGCCTGGCTTGTTCCCTCTCTCCGATGTCGATCCTGTGGCTGCTTATAGTTTCCTCCAATTCTGAACATCCTCTGACATCTCTTTAAAAACAGTATTTGTCTTCTTGTCTCGGGAAAGTAAGGGGGAAGGAGGGGTTGGTTATTTTATTTTTGGTTTTTTAGGAGTAAGAAAAAAGTAGTATGTTAGTCATACCGTAGGAAAATGAGTCTGGTTCATTGTTCAGCGTAACAAGGACGTGGAAAAACTGTTTCTCAGGCTAGAGTGGGTGTCGGTGGTTTTCTAACAGCCAGCCTCAGGTCCTGTAGTTTCATGATGTCGGAACTTGTTTTTCCAAAAACAAACAAGCGCTCTCCCCGCAACACAAAATAACCTGGCCCGTGTATGGGATTTGTTACATCGTTAAAGTTACATCCTTACTGACCTCAGCAGAATTGTCCTTGGGTTAGGTGAAGGGAAACTGCATCCTACTTTTGTCATGCCGTTCAGAAAACAGCAATAAAACTTTACAAGCAGAGCATCCCTGGGAGATGGAGGGGACGTGTAGATGTTTGAAGTGCCCTGAAGGCCTCTGCAGGAATGGTTACAGTTTCGCTGCCTTGATTAGTTTAGCCTGCGTGGTGTTACCTGTGCTGAATAGCTCATGGGTTGTAGCACATTCTGATGACGCTTCCCGCGTTTAATGGTGTGTTCACTTCTGTTTTTTCTAGGCATACTCTGTCTATGATGAAGACATTGGCTACTGCCAGGGACAGTCTTTCCTCGCAGCTGTGCTTCTGCTTCATGTGAGTTAATTGCAAAATGAAAGCTTTGATGTTTGAAACCAAAGCAGCTTTAAAATCAGTAGCACTGTAACATGCTATTTGACAGATATTTACTGGTGTTTGTTTGTCTGTATTCATTTTCCTCTGGTTGCTTGTTGGCAGATAGTGACTAATGGCTTCTGTCTTTGTGACTGTAGATTTCATTTATCTGGGAGAAATCCATTAAATTGTCAAATACTTCTGTGTCAAATCCTGAAATAGATTTGTTACATATTAATATTTTCTTTTAATTTAGTTGTCATGTAGGTGAACTCCCTTTGTGTTTATGGGGAATGTAGCTTTGGGAGGTATTCTCAGAGTAGCTAACCCGAGCAAGCAGTCTCGTTAATTTTCAGTCAGACTTTTTCTCCTAGGGACATTTTACAATATCTTTGGAGTGAAAGCTGGATTTTAACCTTGATGTTTTAGCCTGGAACCAAAAACTGTACAAACTTTGATCTGTTGCTTCTTATATATACAAGTGTGTGTCTATAGAGAGAGATAAATACACGATTTTTATATTTGCAAGATGCTTTAACTGTGGTGTATCAATGGAAAAGCAGCAGATTCAAGCAGTATGGATATTGTTAAGAAAGCCGAACAGCAACTCTTACTCAGTCTCTTGCCTGCTTTTTCTGTCAGGCTTTAATTAATAAATTATGAATCATGTCTCAAATACATTTCAGACTGTGGTTTTGAGTTGGCTGTTGGTGGTGTATATGTTACACGTACACTTCCTAAGGCATCTTTAGCGAAAATTCAGATTAATTGAAGTTGTAATTCCTAGTGAGAGCTGTGACTCCTGGAAGACTTGAGGAGTGTGACACACAGTGACAGTGTTACAGAGAAGCTTTAGAGTCTCTGAGGACAAACCTGAAATTAGTCACATTATTGCAGTCCCACATATACTGCAAATTAGCTTATCTAACAGTTATTTTGCAATTTACTTTTTACCCAAAGGAGGATTTTTAAGTTCTGCTGGAAAATATTAGCCACTTTGAATACCGGAGTTGTGCAGAAGTGAGTGGGTGTCCCAGTCTTACCATTCAAAGGAGCCTTCAGCTCCTCTCACTTCGCTGTGTGCTGTCGCTGCTCTAGAGAATCGCCTGTTTCTGGTGTTTTGGGAGTTGAAGAAATTGCCCTGTACACAGGGGATACTAAATGGCAATTACACTCATTTTAATATGCCCTTTATAACATTTGCTTTCATACTAGGATATTAAACTGAAATAATCAGAGAAAGGGGGGAAGGGAAGCAGTCTCAATGAGCTCATGTAAGTTGGGAGCTTCCCAGGATGTCCTCAAACTCTTGTTTTTCTCAAATTCTCCAACCAATCTGTATGCTGTGGATGCTTGTAAGACCCTCTTTAACTCTGCTATCTTTGCATGGATTTCTAGACCCCTTCCTTGCCCCTTTTTCTGGGACAGGAGATCCTTTCTCTTCGGTGTAGATATGTTTCAGGGATGGTTGGGTAGCCTGAACCTGCATCCTAGCTTTTTGTGATTTTGCCGCTTTGATGAAATTCCCATCAAAGGTGAGCAGGTAACTTCTAATCACAGGGGGAGACAGTGTTGCCAACTCTAATTGCTTTGCTGTAAGTCTCACAGTATTTGGCTTATTTTTTCTTATTGTCTACCTCTTGGAGTCATTGCTGTGTGAAAAACTAACATTTAATTTTAAAAACTGGGAAATTTCTGCCTGTTGTGATTCCAAAGAAAAGATTATAAGGGGCAAATATCTAAAAATCAGAATGGAAGAGCCAAAAATATGTACTTTGTTTAAAATAAGTAAGAAATGAAAACTGAATTTCTGATTTTGAATGCTTGGGGTTGGTAATATTGGAGCTCCTCCACGCACTGAGAGCGAGGGCTCGGTGGCCTCTGCCTTGAACGACCTTGGCTAGTACCCACCTCTGCTCCCACTCCCTGTCTCGGGGGAGGAATGATTGGCAATGCACGTGTGTCTGACTGAACATGCCAGGTAGGTGTGCTTGTGCATGAACAGCTGTCATTTTATTAGAAATAATTGTTACCTTACCAAAAAAAAAAAAGAAATTTGCATTCGTCTTTATTGTAGAACAGATTCAAGGGTTTAGGTTGGGATAAAACTACTTCTTTCCTTTACTTTGTCTGCGGCTTCCGTCTGCGGTCGGTGGGGGTCATTTCATCCAGATAAAATTACGATGAAGAGCTTTGAGAGAACTTGTCCTCGGCGATTCTAGCCTGGACAGGCAGCTAGCAGCTGCTCCAGCAGTTCTTTCTGCTAACTGGTTACTTTCATACTCGCTGTCTGAAAATGAAAATGAAAGTGTCTGCCCATGGCCCTGGCGACAGGCCACAATCATAGGCTGAACCATAGAAGATGAAACCCTGGAGGTAAATACCAGGAGACTAAAATTCTTTTTGAAGAAAATATTGAGCTTTTATCTATTGCTGATATTTGGTAAGGGATTGGCAGGAGGCTGGATGAGTGAATATGCTGAAAGCTCAAGAGTTGTCATTCTTCATACTCAATAATTGTTTTCATTTCTTACAATCTGATGCCTGCAAAAGAAAGGTTGTTTTAAAAAGTGATTGAAAACCTGATTTGGGGTCTGCAGTGACTGCTTGTGCCTATCTTATTGTTGTGTTACCTGAAGACACAGGGGAGGTGGGAGAGATGTCTCATCAGCGGAGGTTTCATGACACAGGGCTTCCCACAAATTTGACGTTCAGTGGGCTCAAGCCAACAAATCACAGAATCACAGAATGGTAGGGTCTCGAAGGGACTTCTGGAGATCATCTGGTCCAACCCCCCTGCCAAAGCAGGGTCACCCAGACCGCATCCAGGCGGGGTTTGAATGTCTCCAGAGAAGGAGACTTCACAACCTCCCTGGGCAGCCTGGGCCAGGGCTCCATCACCCTCAGAGGGAAGAAGTTCTTCCTCATGTTCAGATGGAACTTCCTGTGCTTCAGTTTGTGCCGATTGCCCCTTGTCCTGTTACTGGGCACCACTGGAAAGAGTCTGGCCCCATCCTCCTGACACCCACCCTGCAGTTATTTATCGGCATTTCTAAGGTCCCCTCTCAGCCTTCTCTTCTCCAGACCGAACAAGCCCAGCTCCCTCAGCCTTTCCTCATAGGAGAGATGCTCCAGTCCCCTCATCATCCTCGTAGCCCTCTGCTGGACTCTATCCAGTAGCTCCTCATCTTTCTTGAGCTGGGGAGCCCAGAACTGGACACAGATGCAACTGCAGAGTGGCTGACACAGTTTGTCCTTTAGTACGGCCTTGGACAGCTCTGTTGGATGAGAAATTTCTGTCAAAATGAAACAGAGATTATGGAGGTAGGGCTTATGAAAAAGTCATGATGTTAATTGATGGGATCAGCCCTCCCGAGCACAGAAGTAGGTTCTGAAGGCAAAATTTGTTATTTATTCATCGTGGGAAACTCTCTGACTTCAGAGAGTTTCATGTCCTGGGGTTTGGATGAAAGTAGATAAGCGTGATTCTCACTCAGGGTTGGTCATAACCTAGTTCTCCTGATTTTTTCCCTTTTTAACCAAGTCTCTCCCAGTAGAAATCACTATCATGAGCTGTTGTCTTTTTCTTGCTTGCTTTCTTCTTTTTTAAAAAAAAAAGTTCTGTAGCTGAGAGTTGTGCACTGGTTGTTCTCGTATCTATTTGGCAGAAGGAGTACTGACGACAGTTGTGCTGCTGTAGGGATGTATACTTACATGAACCTATGATACGAGCCCACATTTTCTTCAGAGAAGGTATCACAGAGCCAAATTAAGGTGCTTCTCAAGGGGAACAGTCTCCTCGAGATTTTAGTTGCTTAATTCTGCATTCAGAGTGCTTTGCTGAAAATTTTAATGTATCTCTGGTTCTGAATTCATCATGCATAAGGTATTTAAGCGTGTATATTTGTGTGAGGAATTTCCAGCCTCAGCTCAGTTTTTAAAATCATGTTTGTGTGTTTTTCCAAACAGATGCCGGAGGAGCAGGCATTCTGTGTATTTGTGAAAATAATGTATGACTATGGCTTGAGGGACCTCTACAGAAATAACTTTGAAGATCTCCATTGCAAATTTTTCCAGCTGGAGAAGTTACTGCAGGTGGGGCCAGGGTAACAAATTCTTCTACTTTCATAAATGGAGATACTGGCGCGAAGAAGAGATTAATGCTTTGCTGCTATAAGCTACTGGGCAATAAACCCCCTCTCCTTTTAGAGGTGAGGTAGAAGCAAAGCAAGGATGTTTAATATCTGGATCAAAACATCGTGAGTCAGAACTATTTCTAATCTATTTTGTCTTCCGTATACCGATCTTGGTGCTGATCTGTGTATCCAAGCAGAGTAGGTGTCTCGCCTTTTCTCCTTTCTGTTTACTTAATCTCTCTCTTCCCTGTTCCATGGTGTTGCTTAGAGAGAACGTCTCTGTTCTATGAAGGCCAAAATATCTGCTGGACTGCCGCTGTCGGTGTCCTACTTTCTGTGAGTTATGCTGATGGTTAAGAGATCAGGCAAATCAGGACATCCTGATGCTTATGAAATACAAATCAAGTGTAGGTCATTTTGTAGATTTTGCTGTATTTTCAGTAGGTTGCTCTTTTTTTCGGGTGGAATTATTTCATCATCAGAGCAATTTAACATAAATAAATGGCTGCAAGTTTTACACATTGTTGTTCTGACTAAGAAGGAGCTCCTAACAGTCGATTAAGCTTTGACCTGCACTGCTGTTGGCATAGTGAAAGCTAGCTGCTGGGGTCAGGTACCCTAGGTGACCATCTATACCTCTGTGAGACGTATTAAAACCAAACAAAACGGACCACAGTTGATTTAATGACCTTTTTTCTCAGATGTCAAATTGCACGTATTTCCTACTCGATGAAGCAGAATTGTGTAATAATTAAGAGAGAGACTTAACTTCGGCATATGGTCTTCTCAAAATTTACATGTGTTAACAAAGATTTTTGCGTTATTAACGGAATGTGAATATACCATCAGTGTACAGTAGGATTATCAGTGCTTATTTTGTGTTGCTTATGTGTGCTTCTGGTCTGAGAAATTATCTGCTGGAGTTGTGTGCTGTGACGCTTGCAAGCTCTGCGAGGTGATCGCCTTGTTCTAGGCCCCTTTGGGGTCTTTTAGCAGAAGCATTTATAGCAAGATGCAGCAAAGGACTAACTTAAAACGATACGCTGTGCATGACGTAGATTTCACAACCGCTCTGCCTTTCGCCTGTGGAAGGTTTTGTAATTTCAGAGTATAATCTCAGTACTTTATTTGATACCGTGATGGAATCCACAGTGATACCTTACTGAAAACTGTAACCATGGGCACTGACATGTATGAAGAAACGGATCTCCAGTGCTCGGAGGAAGGCAGGATTTCACTTTGTTGTGTTTGTCAGTGTTTAGCAACCTGGTACTTACTGGCAGTGTAGATGATGAACTCGGATTAAGGAGTAATACTGAAGCGTTTATTTTTTCCTTTACCCTAGGAGCAGTTACCAGACTTGTATAGCCATTTCTCCGACCTCAATTTGGAAGCTCATATGTATGCATCCCAGTGGTTCCTCACTCTTTTTACTGCCAAGTTTCCACTGTGCATGGTCTTCCACATCATTGACTTACTACTCTGCGAGGTAAAAAAAACTTGAATCAGCCCTTCCTCCACCCCACAAATACTTCTTCCTTTTTTATTTTGTTTTGTTGGAGTCATATACTGTTTAATGTCAAAATGTGCTACCTAATTTTGTACAAACCGTGGTTATATTGAAGAGGAGATGTTCAGAGAAATACCGGTTTGGCTTTAAAATTAGAATTGTGGATTGCCTCATGCTTTGCTAATTAAGAATGCACACATCTGTTCTTCATTTAATTTGTTAAATAAAGTATTCGAAGTTAGGAATTCTGATTTCTTGAAGACACCTAGCAGTAAAAGCCTAGCAGGCTTCTAGTGGGAAAGCTCTCCAGATTGTCGGATTCAAGGTGCCCAAAGACGGTAAGGGCACTGCGTGTTGCTTTGATAGCCTGATACTAAACAAATAGTGAGAACTGCCACGCAGCACAACTGCATCAAGCTCTTTTCTTTGGGTTTATGGTTTTTTTCCCCTATTATTCTAAGGAATGTATTACTCCAGATACAAAATGGTATGGTGCTGTATTGTAGATATATCTGCACTTCCTTTAAAAAAAAAAGATAGAATAGATTGATAGGCTGGAATGTTTGTTCTGGTAAAATACTAGTGCTTCCTTTTGCCACCACAAAGTCAGGACATCTGGGGAATTGAACCTGCACTTGAACCTGCCCCTGACTTCCTCTCTGATTTAAATGGGTCACAAATGTAAAAAGGTCTAAATAAATAAAATAATTGAGAATTTTAAATGCAGAGGGCTTCATGAGTATGAAACACTTTTGACTCTAGTTCATTCTATTAATTTTGGTTGCGCGGTAATTTTCTTGCAAATTTTCAGGCTTGCTGTACGTGCCTTGTTAGCATTCAGTATTAAACAAATATTTTCCACCACTCGTGACACAATCTTTTTCCCTTAAGGGTGTTGCTTATTCTGCACATTGGTGCTCAGTTATCAAAAAGAGGGAGGTAAGTACAGCCAGACATCCAAGTGAGTGCAAAAGGTAGTGAAGGGGAGGTGATTTCCATATCAATATCTAAGCTCTATTTCTTTCACAACATCTGGATTTTTTTAAGTAAGCAAATAGAAAAAGCAAGTGTTAGTTTTTCTGCTCTGTGTCTTCTGCCTTGCCGAGGTGGTGATGCAGTACGTGAACACAATCCCTTGATCACTTTTGAATTGTTAGTGAGTTATTTTTCAGAGTGAGCGTCTAGTGTGGATTTGATCCTTCTTTGTCAGTTCAGTTTATTGCTTCATTCTGACCTTGATGTGCAGCCGCTCTCAGAAATAACCGTCTGAAGAGATTGGTTCTCAAGAAGTACAGAACGTCATTTCGTAACGGTGATTGCTGTGATAGCAGCATGGTTACAGCCCCTGGGAAGCTCCTGCACTTTTTGTTATAGTAAGCTTGATGAAAAAATGTGCTGAAGAAGTCTTTTAGTCATGGTTAATATAGATGTAATATTTAGAATGAAGAAAGAGACGACTCTTAAAATGTTTGCATTCATCTCACATCTGGCAGTGTTTATCTCGGCGTGTCTGAGGGAATTACTCCGAAAAAGAAGGTGAAGGACTGCGAGGAGAGAGCGAGAGAGCGACACTAGAGTCTGCTCGAGAATGGGAAACTTGTTAGCAGTTGTGGAGGGTAATCACATAGAGCTAAAGGAGCCTCTTTTACAACGGCTAAAAATAAACCAGAAATGGTAAGAAAATGGATCTCAAGTGAGAAGATACATACAGACATCTTGAGAAACAGTGGGGCAGTGTGTAGACAACACAGTGAGGCAGCAGCGTAGACTGATCGGAAAACTGCTCCTGAGATTCCCGAGTCAACCAGCCTGAAGTGACAGGCGCTGCTGAGAACTGGTGAGAGGAGCGTAGATTAAAAATATATTAAAATAAACTAGTTGGCACTCACCATAGCAGGAAAATAAAATCTGAAGGCATATGGCCATAGACAGAATAGGAAAGAAACCATTCCTTAATGGAGGGCTGAAATTGTATGGTAAAGCTGTCTGTCCCGTCAGCCTCCAGAAGGAGTCATGGAGCAGGCAAAAACGAATTTTTGCCTGCATTAAATTGTTCTTCACTTTATCTGTGAACAAAGAGCACGCCTGTAATTCCAGCAACTGGAAGGAGAAAAAACAGTTGCAGCTGCTAACAGTGGAACGTATTCTTCTGCAAAAAAAATTCCTCAAAATCAAAAAGCCTTTGAAATGAACTGTCTTATATTTTCAAAACAACCTTCCAGCCTTCTCGTTAATTTGTCATAGGTACACATGAATTTCAAATAGCCTTGGACTTCCTTCCTGACTGTGCTTTCTCCCCAGCCCTGTCCTGTCTGTCGTTCACAAAATGTTTACATCCTATGCGACTCTTTTAAGAAAGAAGAATACTGGGGGAAGGAAAGCAGGGAAACCCCGTGCTGCGTGGGTGCTGCCAACCAGGCATTCCCAGGGAGCTGCTCTGGTCTCCATGAAAACATTTGAATTATGGGTGAACAATTGGTGTCAACCAAGAGTTTTTGGATGGGACTGGTGGATTCTTTGTTTTTTGTTTTTGGCTGCAGCTGGAAATTGGTCGTTACAGATATTCTTTAATTCTCAGTTCAGAGAGGAAGGATCCCTGTTGGGAACCTGCAGTGTCGCAGCTAAGCAGGGCGGAATGTTGCCTTCCCTTGCGTGCGTGGTGGAACGGGAGCGCTGAGGCTGGGGGGAGAGCCTCCTGGGCAGGAGCACATCCAGGGATGTGGAAGCCTATGACAAATTAGTTGAATTTATGGTGGGACTAAAGTTTTACTGAGAAATTTTTTAAATCCCATCAAAGTGTGGGCCATTACAGCGGAGGTCTTTTCATCATTCTCTTGTTAAATATGACCTGAGAGAAAGAACCATTTTATTTAAATTTATGCAAATTTGGGGCTTGCCGTGGCCTGTGTGTGATTGAGTTCTTTTATCCTGTTGTCATCTTCTAACCTTTCTTTAAGCTGTCTTCAGGCTGTTAAGTATGTTACTCGGCGCCCGAATCACCCAAATTTCCAGTGGCCTTAGAATATTGTCTCAATAACTGTAGGAGAGAATCTGTCACCCATCCGCATCTAGAAAAGAGATGAGTTTGAACTCTTTTGTGTTTCCTACGACAGAAGCCTGAAGAAAGTGTTGGCCTTGCAGGCATGTACTCCACAGTGCCATGGTACACTTCACAAGGCTTAATGCTTTGACTGCCTTTAGGAAAAGCACAAACCTCTTGATCCAGTTGAGAGTTTTCACAGAATCACAGAATGGTCGGGGTTGGAAGGGACCTCTGTGGGTCACCCAGCCCAACCCCCTGCCCAAGCAGGGTCACCCAGAGCAGGCTGCACAGGACCACGTCCAGGTGGTTCTGGAATATCTCCAGAGAAGGAGACTCCACAACCTCCCTGGGCAGCCTGCCCTGTGCCTGTCGCGGGGCACCACTGGAAAGATTCTGGCCCCGTCCTCCTGACACCCACCCTGAAGATATTTGTAAGTATATATTAGGTCCCCTCTCAGCCTTCTCTTCTCCAGGCTGAACAAGCCCAGCTCCCTCAGCCTTTCCTCATAGGAGAGATGCTCCAGTCCCCTCATCATCCTCGTAGCCCTGGATGATGGTGACAGCAAACTGTGGGGTGTTGAGCCTGGCTGCGTAGATAATTTTTACCATGCCAGCATCAGCTGCAGAGCTTTCTATAGTGCTCCTTTTAGCTGCCTACGGCTTCGTTTGTCTTCTGTCCTTTTGCTATTTCTGTTTGCATGAAGAAAAACTTTGCTGATGAAATTCAGAGCTGTATTTGGACTTGTCATTCTTATCTATCAATATGACGTTATGTTATTGAACACTTTCTGAGCCTGCTCTGTTTTGCTGTCACTTTTTGTTCCATTTTAAATAATGTATCTAAAGTCATGCACAGAAATAGCGACTCATCTAGGTAGAATGCATGTCATGGAGAGATTTCCCCAGTGCAGCAGCTGCGCCTGCGTTATGCTGTAGAATATCAAAGAGTTGACATTTAAGTTAATTTTGCATTTTATAATTTACAATTTAAAATGGAAATATGTGTGTTAAAAGCACTAAAGAAGTGACCTTTAATAGGTATTTCGACAAGAAAAAACCCAAACCACTTGGCAGGCCATTTATAAGCATTATTTTTAAATTTTTGTGGGTTTTTTCTGCTTAAAAAGAAAATTCTTTAACCGGTTGTGGTATGTACAGTGCTACCAAAACTAAAGGAAGTTCAGAGCTCAAGCTGTTACTCTGTTACTAACCTTGAATTTTGAGATACTGTTGGTAACCTCCATTTTAAGTAGATCTGGCTGTTTTTATGTGCAGTTCTTGGGGATATAAAATAACTGAGGATTGTGCTTCTGTCTTTTTAAGGAGTGTATAAAAAACCCTACTACGTGCTGCCTTTCTGGGCTGGTACAGATATTTGTCTATTTTAGCGTCAGCAATTGTACGGTCTGGTTACAAAAATTAATAGTTTGACTACTAAGCTGCCATTCTGTGATCAAGAGTGAATAGAAAGGGATGCAACTGGTTATCTATCAATTTTGAATGTGATATAATTTCATGTTTTGTAGTACGGCTAATAACAAAGAAGTGAAACTGCCTTTCACAGGACCGCACAGCAGCACAGTGGAAGAAGTGGGAATTGAAAGTTAGATACCATCATTCCTTGGCATTTATTTATCAACCATTGCTTTCAGGACTTTGTATAAAGTAACTTTCTTAATCGGTTTTGAGAAACTATCTGTGATAATGAAGACTAATGGGTGTTTTTAAAAATCTTTTAAAATGTGAGTGACTTCGTGCTGGTAAATGAGCACCTAGCGATAGTAAAAATGTGGCACCATGTTGTGTAGGTGTGGTTCCTGGGAGCACTGCTTCGTAGTGGAATAATGAAAATCTTTGGAGAATTATAACTGTTGGCGCTGCAGATTGGATTTCTGTCTCATTGCGTGTCTTGCTGAAGAATGGATGTGCCAGCAAT